CCACCCCGGCCACAGCTGCCTTTTGCTGCAGAGACAGCAGCCGTGAGGTGAAGGCCGGGTTAGTCCCCGAGTGGGCCTCCTGCATGATTCAGCCCGGGGAGCACAGTGACTCAGAGCCATGGCTTTTGTCTTCTGGCTGCAAACAAACAGAGCAGAGAGGCTTTCATGGGACGCCAGGACTCCTGGTGGAGGCAGCTCCCAGCTCCTGAGGGCCAGCCTGGGCGCAGGCAGTCAGGACCGGCCGGATCAAGACCAGGTGGGACCAGGGCAGAGAGACTGATGCCCGCTGGGCAGAGCAGGGCCAAGAGGTTGGGGTGGGGGGACAGACCTTGGCCGCTCTGCAGAGATGTTGGGCCAGGATTGACCCTGCCCCAAGGTCCACCCTGCTCTGGGGTTCACCTGCCCTGAGCGTACCTGACCTGGGTGCACCTGATCTGGGTGCACCTTTCCTGGGTTCACCTGCCCTGGGTGCACCTGTTCTGGGTGCTGCCCTGGGTGCACCTACCCTGAGCTCACCTGCCTTGGGTCCACCTTCCCGAGACCCACCTGCCCTGGGCCCACCTACCCTGAGCCCACCTGCCCTGGGTGCACATGTTCTGGGTCCACCTGCCTTAGGCCCGCCTGCCCTGGACCCACCTGCCCTGGGTGCACCTGTTCTGGGTGCTGCCCTGGGTGCACCTGCCCTGAACCCAACTGCCCTGAGCCCACCTGCCCTAGGTGCACCTGTTCTGGGTGCTGCCCTGGGTGCACCTGCCCTGAACCCAACTGCCCTGAGCCCACCTGCCTTTGGTCCACCTTCCCGAGACCCACCTGCCCTGGGCCCACCTACCCTGGGTCCACCTGCTCTGGGTCCACCTGCCCTGGGTGCATCTGCCCTGCGTCCACCTGCTTGGCCTCCATTGGTACATGCAGAGCACTGTCCCACATCCTGAAAGCCACACCCCCAGGATGTTCCTGTCAGATACAACCCCATAAGCAGTCTCCCTTCTCTGAGCTCCTGCTCTCTAAAGAAGGGGGGTGGGAA